CATTTAATTACAACGTTTGTGTATAGACTGTGAAAATAAATATATATTTAATCAACACAAAGTTACAGATTTTATCGATAATATTCGTTTAAATGTTTGCAGTGTACAAGTATCTTTCTATTTACGCTTAGGTATCCAAAGTTACCGTTTTCTACGTGGTTTGCAGGACCAAAATGCATTTCGACATTTTTTCTTTATAACATCTCAAGTAAAATTACAATTTTGATTTCTGAAATATTATTATATCTCAGGCTATTTTACCCTCCACGCGCACAGAACAGCTGTTCCCAGCGTCGCTAATTCATCTGATTTTTTTGCGTATACGTGAAGATTTCAAAATTGAAGTGATATCAGCTACTCAGTTTTCGTATCGCGTTACTCCCACGAGTTTCGCTCAAAGTCACGACTTCGTTTTCTGTTCAAAGGGAACACCACGATCTTCGAGGTAAGGGCCCTTGATCGAATTATCACGATCAAAGGATTGGCAGTGCCGGGGTTCATATGGTATTCGTCAAGGAAGTTTATTTTATACTTTACTATCAAATTTAAGTGCAAGTTCTCATAGATTCTGTACTTAGGTTTAAGGCAGTGAGACAACATGTGGTTCTAGTACCCCTGGAGGCACAAAGCGAACAACGTGCTTGTCCAAAAGAATTGGATCCACTCTCTAGCGATTAACTCGTTCGTGCATGCGTTCTCTAAACGAGTTTTGCCTCTGGTTTGCAAGGCCGTGTGGACCTGTTAGTAGATATCATTATTTCGTATGAACATACTACTTCCATCTTCAGGGCTTAAGGAATATTATCATGCGAAATGTATAAAATTAACACGATATTTGAGGCGTTGTTGACGTCGTGCAGTGTTACGGGTGATAACCAACGATTCTGAGGAAACATCTGCCTCCATTTTCTGGGTCGAATACACTTCAGCCCTGAAGATGGAGACGTTACGTTCACACGAAACGCTGGTAAGGACAGACCTACCCGGTGCTCAAAGAGAAATCAACAGTCGATATAATGTTCTTCAGTTTATTTGTCCATCCGTGCAAATGATCCATATTAGGGATACCAAATGGATTCCGATTGAGTGTCTGTACATTTTACATCAGGCATTGTCGAGCGAGTATTATTCTGGACCGTTTCGGTCAAATATAATAACGTAATCAGACAAAATTATCGACTCTATCAATATCGATAGGATAAAAGTATGTTGCGGTCGATTTTAAATTATGCCTGCGCCAGGATTAGTGGATCCAGAAAGGATTTAACCTCGTGGCATTCACGTGTTCAGATTTAAAGTAGGTTGGATTAGTGTTCTCTATTTGTAGTGTATGTTGTACTAAATGTATTTATAGCCGAATAATATATTTTCCCCAGCCACGAAATGATTTTTTAATTATAGGGCTATAATAAAGTATTATACTCGTTATTTCGGTAATTAATGTGTTTCTATGTCATCGCAATGTATTATGCACTTTCACTGAATACATAGTCCCACGAACTAAACTCGTAATTTCAATCCGAACAACGTTTAAATGAGTGCTAATAATCCACTTCTTAGGATTTTAGGTTCTCACGAGTATGAATGTCGCTGTCATCTGGGTTATAACACCATATACTATATTAGTAGTTTACCGACGTTTCGGAGGTACTTGCTGCCTTCAGCATCATCGCCGTGATGATGGAGGCAGCGAGTACCTCCGAAACGTCTGGGAACTTCTACTGTAACAGTCCAGAAGACCGCCATCTTCGTAATTCAGTTCAGTTCTGTTCCTTAATTAATTGTCCTCAGGGGAGACAATGATTTTTTTTATATAAAGATGTGAATGAAATGCTTGTTTAATTTGAAGCAGTGATGCCCCTGGCTGAAGGAATGTCTCAGCGCGAAGTAGAGAATTCTTTCATTTGCCTTGCAGGCGTATGCATACCAGCAGCGTTCGTGATAGAATGGCAATTATGTTGTCCTTGGACACATTAATAAGAAATGAAGCATTCGTCCTCAATAAAATGTTCTTAGGTGTAAACAGCTCGAAATTAAGTCGTAAATGCAATGACGACACACACTGACATATTTTCTTAGTATATTTCGTGTTTTATTTTTGTGATTCAGTGTGATTGTGATGATGATGATATAGTTATTTATTTTAAGATTCTGCAGCAATAGCCAAATGTCATTAATAATAATAATTATTATTATAATATCTAACAGTAAAACTATATAATACATGTAACACGTATTAAAAACAAAATGTATTTCGGAAATAGCTGCTGAACTATGTACATTAGGGACAATGGAAGTATATACCCTATAAAGTGGTGAATAGATGTGATTATAATAATGTAGATAGAGATTGTATATGTATCTATATTGTATTATAAGGAAGTACGGGGCGTGGAGGTAAGGCTCCACGGGTTTTTTTTAATTTCGGAAGCAAACTGTTAGTTACACGTTTTTATCAATTAAAATGATTATTTATCGAAAAGAAATGAGCGATTCGCTCACTGATGCTCTGATAGCCAACGTTTGTCCCAGAAGACAGTCATCTTTGTACTCGACGCCGTGAGATCCTGAAATCTCACCTATTACGTTATAAACTGCCTGTATCAACTAATAATATGATGTAGCCTTCTGTGATTTTATGTCTTCACATCAGTGAAGTTGTTTATTGCAGTCTTCTGGTGTGTTGACGCCGTGTGAACTTGTAGATGATTGCCATTATTTTTGATGACTGTTCTTTCGTTCATGTCTGAAGTGGTGACTGATGGAATAACCGCTTTATAAATATTTAATTGTCTTATTCATTAACACGTGTAGCTCCGAAACTAATGTACATTTTGGTATCTCGTTACAGGGACTCTGTGATTCTCTTCCACTGCACTTGCCAGATACATCGTCGGCGTATATGGGAAGGTAAGCGTGACTAGACACTTTATCCCACGATGGCGTGTGCCTTCCAGGTTGTTGTCGGGTGGGGAGTTTACGCACTTTTCGTATGTGCTTGCTGCTTCAAGAAAATGAACATTGCATCAATTTTACAGGAAGTAATTAAATGTGTGCTGTTTCAACTCGAGAATTTAACGTCGCTGAAATGAAGAAGCCTGAACCAATTCCATCTACGTAGTTCCCTAATATCCATCTTTAATGTAGGTCGTAATGTTCCTAAACCTCTGGGTGTTATCGCAAAGCGTTCTCCAGGATATTTCCACATCAGATAGATGCTGTACCCATCTTATCGATAATCTCAGTCCATCGTAGATCCTAGATTTTGCTGACCTAAGAGACATTAGATTCCAGGTTGTCGCGACGTCGAGTATCAGGATGACTGTTACCTTCTAACCTGTTTGCTCATATATTCAAGTTTGATCCGGATTCTGGAAGATGTCGGACAAACAACCTAATAATTCAGCTTCGACGACACCTTTACCTTGTTTGGTTTTATTTGTGGCACTAATATTCGTATTAATATATCGGGATGCTTGGTCCAGTGGCTCAGGAACTCACATCAGTCTTGTTTATCAAATATCGCAATGGCAATCGACATGATGACCCCTCCTCACAAGCGAAACAACTGACCTGTTCCTCGTAATCTTCTGCTTAGTGATCGTAGTGGTTAATGAAATAAATTCATAATGGCAGGCTTGCTTCATCTCTGAAAACAGTCAAATTATTTCGATGAAATTTATTATTTGCGGTATACTTTCTCCGTTGTAGGGATCAAATGTAGGCCTATATATGTGTAATATTTAACCCTCGCTTAACGTAATACTCACGTCAAGTTTTGTGAGATGTTATTTTCTGGGTCCATCTTTAGATCTGAAGATGGACACAGTATGTTGCTTCGAAACGTTGACATCTACCGATGAGTCTACACGGTGCCAAAATCTAGAGGTAGAACATCGTCCTCCTCACCGCTGTGAAAATGTCAAATCTTAGCGTTGTCTGTTTCTCAAAAAAGATTTTATTCGTACGAATATAAAAATGGCGTAAAATGAAGTTCGCGTCATGTTGTGAAGGCTCTGTTTGGAATATTACTTTATATCGAAAATTTTGATATGAAATACAGGAGCATTTGTTTGCTATATCATATGTAGAATGTGATTAGTCTCGCGCTAGATTTGTATCTAGACGTATCAACAGATATCAAGACAGGTAGCTATTAAATCTAATGGTCTTCTCGGTCCATCAGCTGTGATGTGAGAAAGAGTTCTAATCCATTTGTCACTTCCTCCATAATAAGGGATTGTGAAAGAGGCAGTAAGCACCTCTGAAACGTCGGTAAACTTTTACCAGACTACAAGACGCAGCGTCCCGGAGGACTCAGATTGATTAACTGCAAAAAATGTTAATGTTACAATTTAATTTTACAAAACATAGCCTATTAATACTTCGACTCCCTTCAGTTTAATCCGCTAGCCAGCGTTGTGGTCGGAGTCAGAATGTCTGCCGTAGGGAGTATTAGAGGGGCGGGGCAGAAGGGGTGGATTATTTGTGGGGTGTAATATATTCAGAGACATGCAGGTAACTACGCCATCTCCAGCATACATATTAATTTATGATATTGAATGTTCAGAAGAGGGTTGTTTGCTTCCGGCTACATTGAGGTGGGAGACTGAATATATAGGTACATCGTCTGATGGCGAGAAACTATCAGAAGCTGGGAGCATCTCTGCTGTCTCCCGTTGCTCCAACGAATGATGTTTGATATTCATCGCCAAGAATTCATTCTTCCTAAGCAATTTTGCATAGCATTTCAGTTTCGATTTGCCATTTGGTATCATCACGTACAGACGTAACTGTATAATCATTAAAACTTGCAATAATATTTGGGACGTCCCGAGTTTGATCCTCGGAATACAAGTTATCGTGATATTGGAAACAGAGGCAGTCTCTGAAGTGTAGAATTTCCCGACACTGATTGCAACTACTAAAGTGACTGTGGAGAGTGTGGGAGTGATACGAGGACATGTTTTTATAGACTATTTGAGACAATGGTTTCTTGTTGGCACAAGGCATTTTTTCTAGGGTTAGTAAAATTTGTTACAGAAGAATTAGATTAGTTGGTTGTAGGTAAATCAGTATGCTTTCTTGCCTACACGTGTCTTCCGTGCGGTAGTACCTCTGAAGCCACTCCTGAAGCTAATATGCTTGGGGTAAATGAGTTTTCATTGTATACATGAGTTATGAGAATCGTTCTAGTCTTTGACCGAAACCGATTGCAACTTGTAGAGAGAGACTGGGTAGCTTTAAGTGGATAGGAGGGCTTGTTTCTACAGTCTATTTCGTACTGCGGTTTCATGTTGGCAGAACGATTTTGATCTCAAAGAATGATTTAGAATGATGAGATTTTAGGTCCTCACATCTGCGATTATAGAGCGTTCTTGGATGTTGCGCCGTGTTTACTGACGTTTCGGAGGTCCTTGCTGCCTCCATCATAAGGGTGATTTGTTATCGCCCTGATGACGGAGGCAGCAAGGACCTCTACAACCCAGAAAACAGCCATATTCACCCTCAGATTTAAAGTCTCATGCCCATACAAGGCAGCAACAGATAAAATTATAATTTTGTTTGAGTTTCCTTAAATTGTCGTCTAAAGAAGGATGTAAGAATAGTGGACTATGTGTCATTTTTGCTCTCAGTTGTACCCTTATTGCTATTCTGTCTGCCGTCTACTTACTGTGTCTTCCTTATCATCTTATTTTTGTCTCATTATTTTCAAGCTCGCTTTTTCTCTCTCTTTCTCTCCGTTCTTGTTATAGGCCTCGCGTTTTGCAGCGTCCAGGGGCAGTGTCGAAGATCTGTTTCCCCATATTTTTACTTCCCTGAAATGCCCTTCTCTTTGCATCGAAACTAATCCGTTTATTTTTATAGCAGAGCGTTTGTGTATCTGTGGGTTTATGTATTCATGAAGAACCAAGTCTCCGGCGAAGAATTTGTTCTGAAAAGAGGAAACTTTTTTTTGCCGAGAACTTCTGGGTCTAATTATTATAATAATATGAAGTCGAGTGGGCATTTTGTATGCATTAGGATTCGTTTATCTTTACATGCGTTTCTGCTTTTCCCAGTTGTGCTGTTTTTAGCGTCGTAGCATAGAATATTAATTTTAAGTTGGCTTTCCAAAGGAAAGAATTATTGTACGCAGATGCATCCTTCCTCTGTTCTGTCCAGTAAGTCTGAATAGTATCTTCTGTCTTACAAGTCTGTTTCGGCTACATTTCATCGTTTACAACGTCTACTAAGGTGTCTTCTTCCGCTGTTTGCACGGAATTTTAATTACTTTCGTTCTGAAATTAGACGTTTTTAGTAACCTGTGGGCGAAATACATTCATGATGTTCACTGTTTACCAAAAAGACAAACGTTGACGACGAATAGCAGGCGCTCCTGCGTCGTATTCAAGGGTTCCGTGGTTCGGATGCTCCGGATGTCGAATTCTGTTTTCCACGGTTCCAAAGTTCAAATGTCAGGGTAGCAACCTAACGTCTACCACGACCACTTCCATGTACACCCTTGCTAAGTAATTATTCGGCGCTTAAAATTTGAGCAAGTGACAGAATTGTTAAACAAAACCACAGAAATAAGTAAATAAATTTATCGGTTATTGCGAAGGTGATCACATTAAGAAACGTGGTTTGGATAGGACACGTTCTTATATCTGAAATGAAAAATGCATACGAAATTTTGGTCGGAAACTTGGCGAGACCCAGGCACAGATGGTGTGAAGATGTTTGTCGGATTTTGTTGGATTCAAATGTAGTTGTCGCGTTGACAACTTCTTGTGGGAGTTTTGTGAAAAAATGGATCGTTTCTAGGGACAGGAAGAGGACGCCTCTGCGTCACCGAGCGATGGTCTTTTATTCTCTCTGCACTTCGCGACGCCATTGCAGGCCAGACCCACTGACTCCTCACTTCCCTTCAAATTATTTATGCATGTATTCTCAAACATGAACTTTAGATGTATGACGTAATAATATCTTATAATGGAAGATGGACTTACAGGACTTGTCTTTATGAGACTGTCCCCACATATATTTTGAAGTAACTGATAAAAATTTATGATGCAACTAAGTACCAAAAATGTACATCAACTTCCTAAAATCAATAAAACATGACAGAATTGGAAGCAGGTATATTGGACGTGACACACGATATTTAAGTTTGTGATTTCTTACTCGGTTGAGCAGTCCTTGAGAACTTAATACTGCGCTCATCTAGTAAAGGAATTCCCAAACTTTTACTGTCCCCGGAGACTCATTGCCATATCCACAGTAGGGGACCACTGGTACTACTTATATGGTAAAAGAACTGTTTTACACGTATAAATTTGTAGCATGCATGGAACAACACGGTAGAAGAACGTCATTGCTAAGGGGCACACCGTTCTAGGGTGGAATTTATGTCCCCCCACCCATTCTGAGAAGCTGGTGCCCGTCGCTATTAAGATGTATGAAATGTGTCACGAAGTTCAGAACAACTTCACTTTGTCATGGTTTGCATGTTAACTCGTGTTAAAGCAGAACTATATTTGCCCACACTGACATTGCGTTATAAGAAGACGTAAAGAATTCCAGTTTGGATGACAAGTTGTTAACTCCATACTGCAGGAAGGTATTTCAAAACATAATAGTCACCCAGTTAGTCAAGAAACCAATCATATCTATGAGCCCCGAAATTTTATTCTCGTGCTTAGAAAATCTCATTGTCAGCACCTCTGAAACGTCGATCGACTTATAAGATTTTACACGTCGCTACATCCCAGAACACAGCCATCTTCGGACTCACTGCCGCGAGAATTTTAAATCTGAAACAGAAAAACTGACGAGAAAATTGATAATCGTTTATCCTTTGTGAATGAGAAAAGAATGTGAGGGAAAGACACGTCCATTTCGGAGGCATTATACTTCAGCGAAAGGCA